AGCACTGAGGAAGAAGAGAGGGGCATTATTTGAGATGAGGCGGTGACAGGTTCACCAGGCGAGGACACGAGGACTATGGCCTTTATGGTTCAATAAAAAGTCTCAGTAGCAATATAAAAGTTAGGGGAAGCAAGCAGCAAACAAACCAATTAGGAGAGAAAAGGAAAGGGCTCGTCAAAAATCTTGAAAGACTACAAATAACATGTATAAAACAACAATTTAAGTAGACCAGAATACACTAACTTCTAGATGATGTTGAAAAGTATGTTTCAGACATGTTTCAGCTTTCTCATTTAATAAAACACAGCTAAAAACAGGTAAAACTAAACAATACAGAGATCCACAAGCTACACAACTCTGAAGAAAGGCAAGGAAGCTAATGAAAGCCTGGGAATAGAAACAGTGGGTGATGACGATCTGTATTTCTTTAGCATGGGTGTATAATTTATTACTGTTCCTTAAAGCTATTAAACTGTGAGGGTGCCGGGTGTCAGTTAAGCATCCAACTCTTGACTTCGGCTCAGGTCGTGACCTCACGGTTGTGGGATTGAGCCCCGCGTCGGGCTCCACGCTGGGTGTGGAGCCTGCTTAAGATTCTCTCTCTCTTTACCTCTGTCCCTCTCCGGCTCATGCACACTCACTCTCTCTCTCTCTCATAATACCTACTGTGGTGATCACTGTGCAATATATACATAAGCAAAATCATTATGTTCTACACCTAAAACTAATACAATGTTGTAGGTCAATTATATCTCAATTTAAAAAATACATTCAGATGACACTGATAATGTGCAACCAGGCTGCTCTTATTTACTTTCTTATATAGCACCTGTCCTTAAAAAGATTTTAAGGAAAAACAAAAACAGCACATGGGAGTGGGGAGCAGGGGGAACAAACGATGAAGGAAGAGTGCAGGGGAAGAGTATGATGCAATAGGGAGCAATGGGGTTTGTTAACAATCTTAGAAGAACGGATGAGTAAGAATGGGTCAGGTGGAAAAGCTGCGACCTAACCTTTCTTTTCATCTTTTTGGGGGTACAGGGAGGTATTTCAGATAGAACACAACTGGGTTTGTGCTTTGTGTGTCTAGTTGAGTGGCATGGAAGGGGTGGGTTAGTGATGAGGTTAAAAAGGTAGGCAGCTGCCAGCATTTTAGGAGCAACAATTAAAGCTTTATTATAATTTTTTTCTTTTTCCACATTTGGTAATTATCTGATTATGCTATCAGGCCAGGCTTGTTAAAACCCAATTTCCACCGTATACCTAGATTTAAATGACACATTTTCCTAAATGACTTTTCAGGAACAAGACACTGCCAATGAAAAATTTTAAAGCTCTATTTTAACTGCATTTGGCCACAGAGTAAGAAAACAATTTCAACAGTATCATCATCACGTAAAAAGTTTTAAAAAAATCTCTTCTATGAAAAGGGACTTCTGAAAGACAAAATGTGCATGGTACTTTCACATTTGTCCTCATTTTATCTCATTACCGAGAGAAGGAAAGGCTAAAAATGACCATTTATCACAAACTAGGGAAAGTGAAAAACAGGAAAAGTAGCGATTTCCTTCATTCTAAGATATGTATTTTTCAGACTACAACTTACATAAAAATCAGGATAGATATTACACGACTGATTTAACATCATCTTTTTTCTGGGAAGGGCCACATTAAATGTATTTTATAACTATGCACATATTTTGAATTAAGGAAACATAGTAAGGGATTTAGGCCAAAATCAATTAAAAAGGGGGCAAAATCGGGCAAAAAAACCACCCTGCAGTCAAGTTACTAATGTGTATTAACACGAACCTAGCGGCCTGTCTGGCTATTCTTTCCCGAATTTAACGAAATGTACAGGGCCTTCCTTCCACTAGGCTCTTCCTGAAATGCAAAGCTATACTAAGCATCTTCTCTGCCCTCTAGAAGTACATAATCAAATACAGATGACTACAGAAGCATCTATGAAACAGTCTGGCATTAATATCAGAAAAATATGAAGTGTGACACATCCAGATAAGGAGTAGAAGTCATTGCCAGCCAGGATACCAGAAAAAACCTGAGACATCAAAAGAGCTTAATATATGTGAAAGCATTATGGGAGACCTGGGTTAGACTTTGAAGGACTGATGGAATTTCCACACAGAAGGCACTCCAAGCAGAGGGAGCAGTAGGAACCAGGAAAGAGCACAGAAATCATCCACTGGGCCTCACTGGCAGAAGGTAAGAATAGTGGGAAAGAAGGCTAGCAAAGTAAAGGGAGGCTAAAATATGGAGTTCCTGGAAAGTCAACTAAAGAATGTGAGCAGACAACAGTCTCCCCTAACAGCCAGGTTTCAGGAATATGAACCTGACAGTAAACTACGGAGACTGGAATGGGGAGAAAGTACTGCTGCATAGTCCAGAGTCAAGTATTCAGGGCCTGAAGTCGGTGAGGACGATAGCAGAAGTCAAGAAAGGAATGTCTTCCCTTTAAACCGCCTGGGGTTGTTTTTGAATGAGGGCAATTCCAAGAGCACAGAGCACCAGCCTGCTAATCTGCGCAGCTCCACGACTCCCAGCACAACACCCCACGCACAGTAGATGCTCAATAAATAAGCTGAAGGAAGGCAACCTGCAAAGGCTAATTTGCTAATATGCTAAATGTCCATAATCACTCTTCTTTCTACTTCTCGCATTCATATAGTTACTTCCTCTCCAACTTGGGTTTACAGCCTAAATAAAAATTTTCCAATAGGTGTTGGACCCAATTACTTCTCCTTCAAAATACGCGACAGCTTTTTAAAAGTATGTAAACTTGCTACTGAGCATTTGCAAAACACTGCTCTACCCAGGACTTTACACAGAAAACCATCCAGACTCCATAAAGACACATATCAAAAGATCTTGCTAAAAAGGAGTATTTACAGCAGCAAGTTTTTCTTCTGGGCCACAATCAACATGCTTCTTATCTAAGTGAATTTGCTACATCACTAGTGCAACCACAAACTGCTGCTTACATTTCCAAAGTTGTGCAAAGGGCCCAAAGTTGTGCAAGAGTCCTCACTGAAATCAGACTCTGGTATATAAATAGTTATAACACCTGAACAAGCCTTGGTTTTATTATTAGATTCAAAGTAGTGCCAAAATCACAAGTATTAAAAAATATTTTACGAGTTTATTTGTCTGTGAAATATACTCGGAGGTTATTTCAAGTGAAAATAGCTGAATTTCTTTCTGCTTCAAATGTACATCAGGTCATCTGAAAATTGGCAGTCGTGACCCTGCCCCTGATATACCCAAGAAATCAGTGTCCCTGACACACACAGGCACACGCACGCGAGCACACACCCAGAGCACTGAACGGCCTTGCATCACTATCAGATAACCCCAGTTTACACGTGGCAAAAGTCGACAGAACTTTCACGCTTTAATGACCTCGAAAGGGATTCCCCAGCCGCCCAGGTAATGGAACGTGACTTACTCTGACTTGGGATTTGAAAGTGTTAAAAAAAAAAAAAAAACAAATTTTAAAAAAATGTTCTGTTCTCTCTTTCTCAGCTGGCTGTCCCACAGCACGAGCAGTTTGCCCAGCCCCTGACAGATGCGTGTAGGCTGAAGAAGGTGGGACCGATCAGGAAACCCAAGACCCTCCTCCCATCACCTCCTCTGCCTCCCTTTTTCTCTCCCGAGGGCGGCGAAGAGGCCCAAGGTGAGGGGCGGCGAAAGAGTGCAATCATCTAAGTCAGGCCCTGGCGGCCCTTGGCTGGGCCCGTTCCCAGATCTTGAACGGCTGCCGAGGCCCCCGACTGCAGGGCAGCCCGGGGCGGGGGCCGCGGCCCGGGCCTGGCCAGGCCGCGGCCGCTCGCAGTGCCCACGTCACCAGCTCCAGCACTGCGGAAATGGAGCGGCGCGGCCGGGAGGGAGGCGCCGGGCGGCGTTGGCGCCCGCGCCGCTGCCAGACGCCGTTTACCCCTGAGCCCGGGCCCGGAGGCCGCCGACACCCGCCCGGCCGCGCCCCAGGCTCTCACCTGTGTCGCCGATGATGATGTACTTGAAGAGATAGGCGTACGCCATGGCCGCGGCCGCTCGGTGCCAGGGCACACGGCTCCTCCTCCTGCTACTGCTCCTCCTCCTCCTCCGCGCCCCTCACCCCGGCGCCGCTCGGCCTCGAAACGCCAGGCCCCGCCCGCCGCAGCCGTCACCGTCAGCCGCCGGGAGTGAGGGGCCGAGAGGAAGCCGGACAAACTGACACTCGCAGAGCCGATTGAGACAGCACCCGACCGAGCTCCCTCGAACAATAACAGCCGCCGCGGCGCCTCCGCCCCGCCTCCGCGTCGACCCGGAAGTGCTGCGGCCGCCGGCGCCGCCGGAGGAAAGAGGAGGAGCCCCGCACGCCGGCCGCGCCCCGCCGGCCGGAGCCCCGCCCAGCCAGAGCCCCGCCCCGCCGGAGCCCCGCCGGAGCCCCGCCAA